TATACAGAGAAACCCTGTCTCGAAAAACCGAGAGAGAGAGAGAGAGAGAGAGAGAGAGAGAGAGAGAGAGAGAGAGAGAGAGAAAATTCCATAAGGAATTCAGCTTTTTCTTTTTCTTGGGGCTTATTGCATGTAGGCTATTAGGGTAATTATTAGCACATTGTTAACATTTTTGGTATTACTTTATACATTCATAAAAAGCCTACATACCTATCTTCCTTTCTCTTCTCTCCTCCTCTTCCCTTCTCCTCTTCTCTTCTCTCTTCCTGGCATAGTCTCACTGTGGTCTAGGCTGACATCTGGGCAATCCTCCTCAGCCTCCTGAGCACTGGATAGAAACCACCACTCCTGACTTGGCCCGTAAATGTTACTATGTACACAAAGAATTTTCCTTTCAGTGAGACCCATTCTCACTCTATAGCTCAGGCTGGACTTCCTTTAGTGTCTTTCCGGGCAGAGCTGGATACATGCTCAAACACCTGTAGTGTAAGGCTCCATGCCGGTTAGGTTGGGGGATAGAGTGCAAATTACGCAGCTTTTGAGTCATGGGTATACAGTATGTCCTGTAGTGGGGCTGATGGGTCAGGTACAAAGTGGAAAGTTAGTCCCTCTAGGAACATTGGAAGTCCATCGAGGTTTCAGCAGACACATTCACAGCCAGGTTCAGTAAGTCTCTAGGAAGGGCATGTGGCATTGGGGAAGAGCTGTGAGAGTTAGAATTTTAACAGAGAAAACGAAGGAAGTTTTAGCCAGAGGAAACCAGATATACTAAGAAACCTAATTAGGACAGTGCATGGCAGGAGAGAGAGTAAAGAGCATTCTGTATGGTTGACACACAGGCAATAAGTGCCCAAGTCAACAATACGTGGCTGGGAGGTGGATGTTGGACCATCCTGTGAAGCACCCTGATGCCAAGTGGAAGAGCTGGCCCTTCTGCAGAATGTGGTCGCTACAGCTTCTGAGCAAAGGGCAGCAGTCCAAACAGTCCTGGGCATATGAGTGGGGTGGGGTGGGGGGAGCGGCTCAGGGGTCCTGCCTGAAGGTGAGAACCTATGTGCCAGGGACTAGCCAGCATGGTCATCGCAAAGGGATTTCTTTGCAGGTTGTTTTATTTCACAAGTGCTGTTTCTTTGCCCGGTTCAGCCACAGTTTAAAAATCTGAAATCATCCATCCCACTTTTCTCATCTGTTTAAGAGCTCTGAATTTCATGTTAGAGACAGTTTATTTGTTATCATAAGAAAGCACAGGTATTAACCCAGCCTTTTGTATCTCAGTGGATGTAGCATCCCAGAGTTCAGTCACTGGTGGAAAATGTTCTGTTAAGAAATTGTATCTAGCACTATACATGTACAGGTTTAATCCCAGCACATGGGAGGCAGAGACAGGTGGGTCTCTGTGAGTTGGAGGCCACCCTGGTCTACATAGTGAGTTCCAGGCTAGCCATAAGGGCTGCATAGTGAGACCCTGTCTCAGAAAAGGACAGAGGAGAAAAAAAGAATAAGTTGTTTCTATACTGAATATTACAGATCTTTGGAATACAGTATAAAAACCGTTTACATTGAATTCCATGTAGATCATGGAGAAGTGGTTTAACAAACGGAGAAGTATGCCGGTTCTTTGCAAAAACTGCCCTGTTTATATCCAGCAATTACTATACAAGCATTTTGGAATCTGAGAGGATCTTAGGACCACTTGATCCTAAAATCACAGTTGCAAGAATTCTTTGGGGACAGCGAGATGGATCGCTGGGAAAAGGTGCCTGCCACTCAGTGATGCAAGCCTGACAGCCTCCCAGAAACCCACAGGAAGGTGGAAGGAGAGCGCGGATGCCACACAGTTCTGAGACCTCCACCCATACACCCCCTCATGCACACAAATAATAATAAATGCACATTTCAAGTTTTAAAGAGATTTATTGGGAGGAACTTCACACCAGTAAATCTACTTCCATTTTTTTTCCCACACATGGCCTGGGAAGGTTGTGACTCCATGAAAAATTGAGTTCTTGTTGGTTTTCTTTTGTTCTTCTTTTTCTTTTTAAGTTTTATTTGTATGGATCTCCAAAGAAACCAGATGAGGGTATTAGATCCCTTGGAACTGGTGTTGTAGATGGTTGTGAGCCACTACAATGTAGATGTTGGAAAATGAATCCGGGTCCTCTGCAAGAGCAGCAAATATTCTCAACCACAGAGCCACCTCTTCAGCCCTGGCTTTCTTTCTTTTTTTCCTTTTTTTAAATTTTGTTTTTTAGAGACAGAGTTTCTCTATAACAGCCCAGATAGTCGTGGAACTCACTTTGTTGACCAGAATGGCCTCGGACTCAGATCCACCTACCTCTTCAGAGTGCTGGACTAAAGGTGTGCACCACCACCACTTGGCTGTGTGTAGCCCAGTGTCTTAGGGTTGCTATTGCTGTGATGAAACGCATGACAAAAGCAACTTGGAGACAAAAGGGTTTATTCGGTTCACACTTCCACATCACTGTTCATTGGAGGAAGTCAGGACAGGAACTCAAACACAGCAGGAACCTGGAGGCAGGAGCTGATGCAGGGGTCATGGAGGGCTGCTGCTTACTGGCTTGCTTCCCCTGGCTTGCTCAGCCAGGACCACCAGCCCAGGGATGGCACCACCCACCATGAGCTGGGCCCTTCCACATCAATCACTAATTAAGAAGATACCCTTCAGGCTTGCCTACAGCCTGATCTTACAGAGGCATTTTCTGAATTGAGGTTCCCTCCCCTCAGATGACTTCAGCTTGTGTCAAGCTGACACAGCACTATCCAGCACATCTACGCTAGTCTGATTTCTGATCTTCCTGCCTCCATTTCCCAAATGCTTCAATTACAGGCATGTGCTACCACACCTGGCTCTGTCCTTTCTCTCTCTCCTCTCTTATTATCTTATTTTTCTTTGACTCACCACCTATGCAAGTCATCCACAGTGTAGAATTCGGTACTGAACACCTTCAGTGGACTCTGGGAAGAACAATCCTTCCTGTAAGATCAGTACTGAAATCAACACTTAAAAAATATCTGTTCTGAACTTGAAAAGATTTTCACACACACACTTTTTTGAAACAGGGTCTCATGTACCCCAGGCCTGTCTCACACTTGGTAATAGGTTTTCAGCACCCGCACCCCTACCCAGCCCCATAATAGGTTTCTCTGCTGACGTAGTAAGCCAGATCAAGCTGAACTGAGAAAGTATAACAATGGGTTATTTGAGCAAAGCAACTCCAGGGTGAGTTCTCCAGTCCCAGAGATCAAGGCCAGAGAAGCCGCACGCCCGAACTAAAGCAGGAAGCTTACATAGGTTGTAGGCAGGTGTAGCATGAATCTTAGGGTCTTATTAATAAAACCAAACCCGGGCCAGGTATTGGGGTGAACACTGGAAGATCAGAGAAGCAGAACAAGCCACAGCTACTTCACCTCGCCGGATCCTCAGCTGGTCTTGTTTTCTCAGACTGGAGGCCTCTGAGTCCTCATCCAGAATGGGTCTCAGCTGAACTGCTGCTCAAAAGCCTGAATGCTTAACCAGGCCAAATGCTTCTAGTTCCTGGTCCTCACGCCTTATATATCTTTCTGCTTTCTACCATCACCATGCTTGGCTGTATCCTTGAACACATGGATTTCTGCCTCTGGAATGCTAGGATTAAAGGCGTGTGCTACCACTGCCTATCCTAAGTATCTAGTGGCTGTTCTGTTCTCTGACCCCAGATAAGTTTATTAGGGTACACAATATTTTGGGGAACACAATACCACCACAGGCAGGGCTGATGATGTGTCCGCCACAAGCTGGGTTTGTGCCCAAGTATGGCCAAAAGCTGACCAGTTAGACGGGGACTTGGGTGGATGGCAACTTCAGGGACGAGAGCTGCGTAGTAGCCACCAAAAATGCAGAACTGGGCTTTTTGGTGCCTTTCCTTGGTTTGGAGACTCTGAGTGGGCAGAATTTGGAGAGAGAGAGAGAGAGAGAGAGAGAAACAAGAATAGGGCTTTCTGGACCAAGCAGGAGTGAGCTGGAGGTTCCAACTGAACAGTAGGTAGGTAAAGATGACCTTGAACTTGTAATGCTCTTGCCTCTGCCTCCTGAGTACATGCTGGGAGTACAAGGGTGTACCAGCATGCCCTGTTTTCTGTGGTGCTGGGGATGGAACCTGAGGCTTCATGCATGCACTGTACAAACTAAGCCACATGCCAAGCACCTCACCAGTGGTTTGGTTTGGTCTCTCTATATATATAGCCCTGGCTGTCCTGGAACTCACTATGTAGACCAGGCTAGCCTCGAACTCACCTGCCTCTTCCTCCTGAGTGCTGGGAAGCATGTGCCACCATGCCCAGCTCTCATCAGTGTTACTTAAAGATAACACATGTGGGGTGGGAGAGGGATGTAAACCCTGAGAAAATAAACCATAAAAGGAAACTAAAGGCAAGGCTGTCTCCTTGCTTCTGTGGATTTTCACACACACCATCACTTTTTTTTTTTTTCCTTTTGGTTTTTCGAGACAGGGTTTCTCTGTGTTGTTTTGGTGCCTGTCCTGGATCTCTCTCCGTAGACCAGGCTGGCCTCAAACTCACAGAGATCCACCTGGCTCTGCCTACCGAGTGCTGGGATTAAAGGCGTGCGCCACACGGCCCAGCTAGTGTTTTATTCTTCTTTAACACATTTGGATTTCCCCAGTGTCGTTAATTGCTTGTTTGTTGTTTTTAACACCAAGTTTTCCCTTTTTTCAAATTTTTTTAATTAAAAAAATTTTTTTTACTGCTGCAAGCCACAGGAAAGTGAAGTGGAAATTCAACTGTTTATGACAAGCTAATAGCTGGAAGAAGCTGAGGGCCTTCCAGAGGAGTAAGCCAAATCTCAGGGAGTATTGGGTGTTATTCGGCTTCTAATGTATCAGTGTTGTGCCCATATCGTAACCCCCAGGACAAGCAAGGACAAGCATACCAGAATGCAAAAGCATTTTTACTTCTGCTGCAAGTCATGACAGGGAACTCATCTCAAGCCATCTCAAGTGAGGCAGGGAAGAGTTATTCTTTCTTGAGGAAGTTAGTTTTTATAGGCAAAACCCATAAAACTTCTTAGAGGGGAGGGGGTTAGTACGGGTACATCCTTGATTGGTCCAGTTTTTCCCGGGCCTGGACTTTGTCTTATTCTAGCTTATCTGTTTGCCCTGTCAGGAGTTTTACAACTCATCTCTGGGGTCTGGTCATGTTATCCCGGAGAGGGGCATCTCATGGTTAATCGGTTACCATCAGACATCCTGACTTTGTTCTTTTGAGTTCCTGAGGCTGGCACCATCATTTCTGGGGACTTGAAACTGGCCTGGGTCTGTCTATATTGAGGTATCTTTGTCTAAGGCCCCTTTTTTTGAGACAATAGAGTGAGGGTCTTGTTTTGCCTAGATTGCATCCCCAAAGCCGCCACTGGAGACTTTAGGTACAGAATGCAAAAGTAAGGTGTTTTCTAAGTTTACAAGCCTCCAGGGAGGCTCTTCCAAATCTCTCACTCACAGTAGGGAGGTTGGAAGGAGTGCTCCCTTTTCTTTGTGAGGCTAGTTCTTAAAGGCACAGACCATATAATTTATTTTAACCCGCCTCCCTTTTTTAGTCTTTTGGTCGAATATCCTGACTCTGTGTTTTCCAAAGTCCCTGTAGCAGATACAGCCACCTGGGGAAAAGGGGTCTAAATTCTTATCTACACTTAGGAATCCTGGTTTAAGCTTCTCTTTGTCTGTAGGGGATAGAGTGGGGGGTTTTACTGAGGTATCACAATCAGCTGTTCTCTACTATGAATTTCATGTGTGCTCATAACCTCTCCAAGAACTTTTAACCTTTAAATACCTTAGTGGTATTTATACTGACATTATAGACTCTTTTTTTTTTTAAAGATTTATTTATTTATTTATTTATTTATTTATTTATTTATTTATTTATTTATTTATTATATACACAGAAGAGGGCACCAGATCTCATTACAGATGGTTGTGAGCCACCATGTGGGTGCTGGGAATTGAACTCAGGACCTCTGGAAGAACAGTCAGGGCTCTTAACCTCTGAGCCATCTCTCCAGCCCCGACATTATAGACTCTTTAACATTTTACCTAACCATTTTTAGGAATGTAGTTTTGAGCACATAAATTCCCTTTTCCTGATATAGCAACCCATTTTAGCTTAGTTGACCTCCTCCTTTACCACTCCCCTTTTGGGTTGTAAAAGAAAGCCTGACAGTCACTGCCTGAGGAAAACTCTTGTCTGCCTTTATGACCCTGTTAAGAATTCAAGCCTGGTGACCTTGCTTTAGCTAGAGCACTGCTATTGCATGGGTATAGAACTGTAAACCTCAGAGACAGAGAGAGGATTTTGACTGGAGAGCTAGATGGAGAACTAGAAGAATGAGATGGAAGATGAGGAAGAGCCAGATGGGGAAGAACAAGATAAGAAAGACCAAGATGGACCAAAACTAAGATGAGAGAATTAAGTTAGAACTTAGAGGGGACAACAGATAAAGGTAGAGAGAAATCAGGCAAGAAAGGAGCTAAACATGAGAGCAGAATAGAAGCTGATTAGAGAGACTCAGAAAAATAAAGGGAATAAATCAAAGGTTTTGTGTATGTAGATTTAATAGAGAACCCCTCAGATTACCCCATGCCGTAGCCTCCTCCCCAGGACTTTGGGAGAAATCTCCTCAAGGCAACTCCCCCCCCCCCCCCCCGAGGAAATTTTGATTCTTTACATTTATTTAGGGGCGGAGCATATTCCACAGCACAATTATAGATGCCAGAGGACAACTTTCCAGAGTCTGGGGGCTGTCTACCATGTGGGTCAGGGGGCAGACTCCCGGGGTTGTCAGGGTTCCTGGCCCACTGAGCCATCTACTGGCCACCAACTTTCCTTTTCTTAAAATAGGAAACAGACTTGCTTATGATTGAACATGAGTTTGAAAATTTAATAAATTTTTTCCTAATGTATACCTTAGGTCTGTGTGTTGTAGTAGACTCAGTCAATGTTAATGCAGAGTGAAGTTTGGTATATATGTATGTGGGGTGTGTGTGTGTGTGTGTGTGTGTGTGTGTGTGTACACACGTGCGCGTGCTTGTGGGTCTATGTGTGCATGCATGAGGAGGACAGATGTTAATGTCAGGTGTCTCTTGCTGAACCTAGAGCTCACTGATTCGACTAGTCTAACTCTCCAGCTCCTCTCTCCCCTTAAGCACTAGGATTACAGGCCATCATGCCTGCCCAGCTTCTTATATGGGTCCTGGATATCTAAGCACTGGTTATCACACTTGAATGCCAAGTGTCCACTGAGGCATCTCCCCAGCCTCAGAGAATTAGTCTAGGAGGACTGGCTGGTATGAAATGTCATGTGTCCCTTTGTATACAGAATATATATCTGTTGATGTTTGAGTGGTTTTCTTGTGGTGATGGGGCATGTGAAGGCAGGTCTGCCTGACCCCCCAGTCCTGTTTTTGATGGGGACACTGAACATGACCAAGTACAGAGCAGCAGCTGGATTGAGTACTCAGGTCATCGGGAAAGGCAGCAAGCACCTTTACCCATGAGCTATCTGCTGCCCCATGGGTGGGTTTTCCACAGTAGTGGCTGAGGACAGATGGTGCAGGCTGCCCAGGAAGCAGGCTGAGTGGCAAGTAAGAATCTGTTCTGAAATGAGGGTGTTCTAACCCCAATTCTTTTATAGTCTGTATAACCAAAAACACTGCTAAAACTTGTTTAATATTTGAATTTATATATCTATTTTTTTCCCAAGACAGAGTTTCTCTGTGTAAGAGCCCTGGCTGCCCTGGAACTCACTCTGTAGACCAGCTTGGCCTCAAACTCACAGAAATCTGCCTCTTCCCCCCCCCCCTCCCAGGGCTAGGATTTAAGCCATGCACTACCACAGCCCAGCTTAACATTTGCAGATTTTAAAGGCCAGTCTAATAATTCCAGCATTCAGGAGCAGGTGAGTTTCAGACCAGCCAGGACGACATAGTGAGAGACACTCTCAGGACAAGACAGTGAGTGGGAAATTGGCTTTACTTGCATGCACACATCACATGCACATCGTGTGTACACGTGCTGCTTCTGACACGTTCCTAAAGCATAAGGATACAGAGAAGTCCAAAGCAGAAGTTAGGAAGCTGCCAGGCCTGCTGGCACCTGTTACCATTTCTCAGAGCTGGAGGTAGGAGAACCAGGAGTTCAAGGCTGTCTTCAGCTACTAGCAAGTTAGAGGCTGACCTGGACTGCAGGAGAGCCGAGTCTCAAAAATAGAAATAAAAAACAAAAGGTGGGAGTGATTTCCCTGTGTTTTATTGTGCGTACGTGCTGGGGGAGGTGTTCAGGTTCTAAGAGGAAGCAGTCGCCCAGTGTGTCCGACTTAAGCAGCAGACAGATGCCTAGCACTGTGAAGAAAGCAAATGCCAGAGATGTTCCTTCGACAGAGGAGCCGCACGGCTGGGTACATAGGTGGCCGTGCTCCTGTTCTGTGTGGAGACGTGTGCCGCTTAGACATCCTGTTTATTTTATGACCTTTGAAGCTGCAGTATTTAACACAGCTAGACATTCCCAGTCAGTGCAGACTGCAGGTGGAGTCTGCACAAGTCACACGACATCCACTCCGAATACCTTTGAGAAAAAGGGGCTTTTTATGGAGAAATGTGGTGCACTACCCAGGGAGTGTCACCGGCCACCTCTCTTCAGCAGGCTTCCTGTTAATGGAGTATTTGTTCTTTCGTCCCCCTTGTCTCCGCCTCGCAGGAGAGGTTCGAAGCTCTGTTCACCCTCTATGATGACCAGGTCACGTTCCAGTTGTTCAAGAGCTTCCGCAGAGTGCGGATCAACTTCAGCAAGCCCGAGGCTGCGGCGAGAGCTCGGATAGAGCTCCACGAGAGTGACTTCCATGGCCAGAAGCTGAAGCTGTACTTCGCACAGGTACTGCGTGCCGTGCCGCGGCTGCGTGCCGTGTGTCTGCGTGCCGTGTGTCTGCGTGCCGTGTCGCGGCTGGCTGCGTGCCGAGCGGCTGCGCGCCCCGCGGCTGCCTCTCCATCACAGCTCTGCAGTTCTCCCTCCAGCCGTGGGTCAGAGGTTTGTGAGTCAGCGTTCCCGCGAGCAGACGATGGAATGTTTTCTCTTACTTTACCCATGCACAAGTTCCTCTATCTTAGGAGCGTTGTAAGCCTGCTGTCTTTGTTTGATGAGACTAATAGTTAAAGGATTCATTTTTCCGGCAGCTTTGCTCGACTGAGGTTCTGTGAGGGTTAAGCCCCGGCACTTGAGGTTAGTGGATTAAATGTTCTCTGCATCTAAAATGGCACTTAGGATGTGTCATCCATGGGAGAACAGAGAGGAAAATCTTCAAGGGCCATCAAGAGGGCTCAGTGGGTAAAGGTACTTGCCACTAAGCTTGAGGACCTGAGTTTGATCCCTGGAACACATACATAATGGAAAGAGAGAGCTGACCTGTGACCTTTGACTGCCACACAAGCAAGTTTATCTCTTCTAAGACTGGAACTTAGTGTGTTAGACACTATTCTACCATAGTACTATCCCACTGAGTTAGTTAGGGTTACTGTTACTGTGATGAAACACCATGACCAAAAGCAACCTGGAGACAAAAAGGTTTATTTGGTTTACATACCACCTTCCATTGAGGGAAGCCTAGGCAAGAACTCAACCTGGGCAGGAACCTGGAATCAGGGTACAGTGGCCATGGAGGGATGCAGCTCACTGGCTTGCTCTTCATGGCTTATTCAGCCTGCTTTCTTAGAGAATCCAGGACCACTAGCCCAGGGTGGTACCACCCACAATAGGCAGGGCCCTCCCGCATCAATCACTAAGTAAGAAAATGCTCTACAGGCCTAAGCCCAGTCTTATGGAGGCAGCTTCTCAGTTGAGGTTCCCTTCTCTCAGTGATGAAAGCTGTGTCAAGTGACAGAAAACGAGCCAGCACACCCTCTGTGACCCATTCCTGAGGTAATCAGCTGCAGAGGAGAAAAGTCTGGGCTCATGGTTTGGAGGTTTCAGTCCATAGAGGATCGTCCCTTTTCCTTTGGACCTGCGGTAGGGGCAGCTCATGAAGGCAGAGCAAAGCTGTTCACCTCCTTCATGGAAACAGGAAGAATAAGGGGCTGGGGTCCCACTGTGCCTTAGAGTACGTGCCCAGTGACTAATGACCTCCCTGCCTCCTAAAGGCGCCCCTCAGGGGAGCAAGCCTCTGCCACACAGACCCTGAGGAACACTTAGAGCCGGATCACAGCCGTGGTTCCTGCTGTGCATTTCTTTGTCCATCTGTCTCTACATGTATTCTTTCACTCAACTCCTGTCCATCAAGGATCCAGTGTGTGTGGCCTGGTGCAGTGAGCCAGGCGAACCCAGCTACCCCCTGGAAGGTCACAGATGTTTTAGAGACATGTTTAGTCACCCCTCTAAGAAAGTAGCAGTTACCATAAAGATGACAAATGAAGGAAAGGAAGATGCGTTTGCAGAGTGCTCGTGACCCTGTCCTTCCCCGCAGGTGCAGGTGTCCGGGGAGGCTCGGGACAAGTCCTACTTACTGCCACCACAGCCCACCAAGCAGTTCCTCATCTCCCCTCCAGCCTCCCCGCCAGTGGGGTGGAAGCAGAGTGAGGATGCCATGCCTGTGATCAACTATGACTTACTCTGTGCTGTCTCCAAGCTGGGGCCAGGTAACGGGTTCTGCTTTGCTCTTACCATCTGTCCCCGGGAGCTTTGTGTGTCGGAGACCACGATCAGTAGGCTGTGGAGGCCAGCAACAGTGGCACTGCCCGGTGGACACTGCAGTCACACCAGTCTGGGTCCACACCAGTCTGGGTCCACGCTCTAACTGCATTTCCTAGTGCTGTGGTCCTCAGCCAGTTGCCGATGAGCCCGAGTTACCTGAGCATGGTTAGGTGGTAAGTGCAGCATGGTAATTTTCACTGTTAGCGATTCAGCTGGGACTTGACACAGGCGGCTAGAGAACACTGGCTGCTTTCTCTCCGCAGTCCAGCACTATGCAGATGGCGGCTGCTCTGTGTTATTTAGTGATGGCCACCTGTCACGCCTCCCAGAGTTTCTCTTTATTTTTTCTTTTTCGTTTCTTACTTTCCTTCTCTACTTGTCTCTCTCATCACCTTAACAGTATGAGGAGCTGATTCCCCGTTAAGGACAGTGTGTCTGTCTCTTCAGGGGAATTCAAAGGCATCTGAGAAAGAGCTTTATGCTTGTGGACATTTGAACTCTTTCAATGTCAGGTCCTACACTAGAGACTGCAGCCTGGAGCCTAGCCAGTGCCCCCCATGGGACCCAAAACCTTTACGAATGTAACTAACCCACCTTAGTTATTTGTAGAGCAGCAATTAGCATTTATATTAATGTTTTAATTAGTATTTATGTAATCTAATCAATGGGTTCCCATCTTAGTGAGCACAAAGCCAAAGTAAGCAAAGAATAGAAGAGAAAGCTTTATCACCTGTAGGAAGAGACAGGAGCTGTTTCCAAAGCCAGGCCCTCCCCAATGAAGGAAGCTGGTGTATATTCATATAGTGGCAGGCCCATTCCTGAGCATGTTCACTGTAGAGTCATGGATATTAACATGTTGTTCAGGATGTGGTCGTGAATAAGGGTAGTTTCAGGGTGTGCTAACAGAAGTCTGTCCTGAAGGTGCCTGCGTGCTTAGCAGCCATGCTTGGATCTTAACTCCAGGGCCCAGGACACTTTTTTTAATGGAATTTCTGTGGTGGCACTTACCTTTAACAACCCTTCGGAGGCAGAGGCAGGCAGTCACTAGGAGTTCCAGGCCAGCCTGTGTGGAGACCCACAGAGGTTTCCTAGTGAGAACTTACTCAGGGTCTAAGAATCTGAGTTTGCTTTACCCAGCAGGGCTGCATAAGGGGATGAGCTGACCACGGGCATGGTTACTAGGTGTTTGGAAGGGTCTATGCTTGGCTGTGTGGTGTGCTTTGATCTTGCAAGGTGGAGTCTTTTGCCCCGACCCTTGGCATTGTTATTATTTGAATAAACGGAAGAGGCCGTTGGATAGTGATCCAGGCCCTCCCAAGGCTATCCTATGTTCTGTCTTTCCTCTCATCCTCTAGGTGTCTTTCTACCTAATATTTCTTTCTTTTTTTTTCCCCCCCGAGACAGGGTTTCTCTGTGTAGTTTTGTGCCTTTCCTGGAACTAACTTTGTAGACCAGGCTGGCCTCGAACTCACAGAGATCCGCCTGCCTCTGCCTTCCGAGTGCTGGGATTAAAGGCGTGCACCACCACCACCCAGCCTCTACCTAATATTTCTTATCCCTCTCTCCTCCTAAGAACCCTTGAGAAGGTGGGAGCTGGCCTCCCACAAGCCTGTCTGCATAGTGAGACCCCATCGAGAGAGGGAAAAAAAAGAAATTTCTTAATCCCAAACACGACAAGCCTCCAGTGAAGGATAGATAGGTTTTACAGACTGTAAGCCACAAACACACTGAGTCGGTACATGCTTACAATCTTAGCACTTGGGAGATAGAAGCAGAAAAATCAGAGTTCAAGGCCAGCCTCAGCTACAGCAGCAAGTTTCTGACTGGCCCAGATTTCATGAGACTCAGTCTCAAAAAATGAAAAATAAAAAAATCAGCAGCTGTTAAATGAATTAGTGCAAGAGGAAGTTGGGAGATAAAAGAAATGAATTCCTTCCACTGGCAGTAAGTCTCTTTGCTTGCTTACCTTGGCAGGGGAGAAATACGAACTGCACGCAGGAACCGAGTCCACCCCCAGCGTGGTGGTGCACGTCTGTGAAAGCGAAACGGAAGAGGAAGAAGATGCAAAAAACCCCAAACAGAAAATCACGCAGACTCGGCGCCCAGAGGCCCCCACGGCCGCGCTGAGTGAGCAGCTGGACTGTGCACTGTGAGCCCTGCCGCCGCATCTGTGCTGCTGCTGCTGCTGCTGCTGCTGCACCTGTGCTTCCTGATGCTGCCGCTGCACCTGCTGTGGAGCGCAGCCAGGAGATGCCGCTGCATCCATCGGGCAGCCGGGCCAGCCTTGCCAGGCCGGAACGTGGGGTGAAGTAGCAGATGTGGCCAGCTGTTTGAAATTTTGAACAATATTCTAAATGGCACTTTACGCGACAAGGTTAGCCCCCACTGTGTGGCACCTGACTCCTCCCCCAGAAACCTTAGTTCCCCTGAACATGTAGATCGTTGGGTACCAAAGGCCAGAACTAGAATCACCAGTGCACTACCATTTTTACAGATTTAAAAATTAGTCTTACAATTTCAGTAATTTGGTGTGGGTATTTTTGTACTGGTGTGGTAGTGTCTAACAAATACATTGAGCAAAGGCTGAATGTTACTCATTGTACATGACTTTTTTTTTGTTAGATACAAAATCATGTGTAGAAGTCATTTTTCTCCAGTATTTTTCCACTAGCCTTGGGAATGAAATGCCAACTGAATGAGATTGTCAGCTCCACACAGCATGCACAGATGTGCTCTTGGCTCTTGATAGCCCTCTCGCAGTTGACCCTGCCCCCAGGGCAGCCCGCCCATGTAAGCCTGGGCTCTGCAAGCAGGCTGTGTCACCGGAAGCTTGGCTGCCGATGACAAGGAGTTGCAGCCTGGGGAGGAGCAGCAGCTCTTCAGGTAATCTCCTGACCATCCTGATGCTGGCCTGTCACTGCTCGAGTTGTCCTGCCTTGTGTGTAGATTTGGGGATGCTAGTCACAGTCTTCAATTTTAGAAAGTAATAAGACCTTCTGAAGACCACTTTAAATCAGGAGGAGTTGTTTCTTTCTCTTGTTTGTTTGTTTGTTTGTTTGTTTGTTTGTTTGTTTGAAGACAGGGTTTCACTTTGTAGCCCAGGCTGGCCTTGAGCCCAAGACTGTTCTCCTTCCTCAGCCTCTTGAGTCCTGGATTGAAGGTATTGAAGGTGCAGTTCCTGCTTCCCTTTTCAATGAAATTTTCCGCCTTAGCTTGCAGTTGACATTTATATAGAATTGCTTCTTGCACATGTCAATGCAGTATCACTAGTGTGCTGGGGCTGCAGTCCCTCTGGAAGAATGCCCTCCTGCCCAGGAGTGCCCTGCTCCAGGTGGGTCAGCTGGCCCCACCCTCTCACTGTGCTCGCTTACTACATGGCACGTATGCAGAGCTGGCTGGTGTACATGAAGGGACTAGACATAGAACTAAGAAACGAACACAGCAGCTACTGTAAAGAAGAGAAATGGAGAGGTTGAAGCCATGATGGCTGTGTTCTTTGGGTGACATGTTAGGGCTGAGTGTCTTTTGTGGTAGAATTGATTTCTGAAGATTTAAACTGTATTACATGCACACACAAATGTCTTCTAACTTGTTGAAACAGGGTCTCATATAGTCCTGGTTGACATCAAACTTGCTATGGTCTCAAGGATGACCTTGGACTCTGCTCCTGCCTCTGTCTCCTAAGTGCTAGGATCTCGGGCAAGCACCACCACACCTAACAACAGCAACACCAGAAGGAGTTGTCCTTGCCCTCCGACACTCTCGGCCCTCAGGTGCCAATCTGTGCGTGTTGGCCATTGGGAAACTCGGTGTGGATTCCATTGAAGGTTTCGATTCCTTCCACACTGGTTGTCGGATCCAGATCGTCATCTGTCGGGTTAACTGAGAGGCTCTGCTCTGCACCCACCTTGACTTTGCAGTTCTGAGCTCAGCAGTTTGCTTCCTTTGGTTGCAGGACAGGCCCTAGCTGCCAGCAAGCAGGTAGATTTTCAGCAGTTGGGAAGCTTTTGTGTTCCCCATTATACAATAGAAATTCTCTCCAATTTTCTAAGTGATCAAAACCCAATTTTTAAGTTTGTCTTGGCTTTCATTTTCTAGCTGCCAATTAAAGAAAAAAATATTTTAAAGAACATCCCCTTTTTTCTTTTTTCTCAAGACAGGGGTTCTCTGTTTTAGCTCTGGCTGTCCTGGAACTCTGTAGACCAGGCTGGCCTCGAACTCACTGAGATCCACCTGCCTTTGCCTCCTGAGTGCTGGAATTAAAAGTGTGTGCCACCACACCTGGCCTATTCCTTTTTTATTTAAGTGAAGAAGTACAAACTACTCATCTCTGTAGATTTTTTGAGAGTATTAAATTGTGTGTATATATAGGGCTGTGTGCAAGGATAAGGGAAGTCATTTAAACTTTCCTGGATAGCAAATGTTAATATTTTCCTCTTCTCTGGTATAATATTTCCATAAGACAAACTCTAGAAAAAAAAATACCCATCCATTTTGTTGTTGTTATTGTTGTTTTTGTTTTTCAAGACAGGGTTTCTCTGTGTAGTTTTAGTGCCTGTGCTGGATCTCGCTCTGTAGACCAGGCTAGCCTCAAACTCACAGAGATCCACCTGGCTCTGCCTCCTGAGTGCTGAGATTAAAGGCATGCGCCATCACTGCCCAGCCCCCACCACCACCCAGCCCCCATCCACTTTTAATGAAATCAATAAGAATATCCAGGACTCTGTTTTTAAGCTCTTTCTATGCCCAGTTAATACAGCCATTTCTTAGCAAGCGAGTCCCATTCTTTTCGCTTGTTTATGAAAAGGTCTCAAGTAGCGAAAGCAGCTAGTCTCAAATTCACTGTGTGGCCAAGGATGATCTTGAATTCCTGATCCTACTGCACTCGCCTCCAAAGCCCAGGATTACAGATGTTACAAATGTGTACCAGAGCACACAGCTTATCCTTTATCTTCTTTCCAGTTCTCATAGTAGATTTTATGTACTTTTTTTTTTCAAATTGAAATTTTGTTTTGTTTTGTTTTGTTTTTGACTTTTGGAGACAAGATTTCTCTGTGTAGCCCTGGCTGTCCTGGAACTCACTCTGTAGACCAGGCTGGCCTTGAACTCACAGAGATCCGCCTGTTTCTTCATTCACAGTGCTGGGATTAAAGGTATGCACCACCACACCTGGCTGAATTATTTCTTTTTTCTTTCTTTCTTTTTTTTTTTTTTTTTT